GAGTCAAGCGAATGACTAACAACAATGTCAGACGAAGCTTTACTATGAGACTTTGGCGGATTGGTCTGAGAGTCCACCAAGGACTTACCAAGTAAACAGTCATTAGTTTTAGCTATCTCTCCTACTCTTCTGCGTTTTCGCGTCATCCATTTTCCATCAGTCGAAACGTCTACATTAAAACAACTCGGGACAGTAATTGTTTTATCTGGGTCACCGGTTGCTGCTGTAGCAATATGGCCACCAACGTCTAATGACGTGTCACTCACTGATCGTTTCGGGGGAGGATGTTTAACTGCGGGTTGCACAGGTAGATGTCTAGCTTGCGCCGTGATAGCACTTACGACACTAACGCAATCTTCGCCATCCGTACCAATGTTATCAGTACAGCCCTCATCAACCTTCTTATTAGCCAACACCAGGAGACTAATTGCTTCCTGGATAAGCAATGTTTTGCTCGAGCAACAAAAACTACAAAGCCAATGAGAGTTGGGCTTTGAGCACCTTTTATATGCAGTGGGGCTTAATCGGGTGCACATCTTATGGAACCACTTATTACACTCATCACATTGCATCCCTTCATCCACGGGAAATAAACAGTATGGTTGTCCACATTTATGAGTAGACCTAGCCATCTTGAAAATCAACTAGAACGGTGACAAAAACAGGATATGTAAAAGGATTTTCAAACCTTAACTAAATAAACCAAGTAAAAGTCGACCAAGTATGCTTCGATGCAATAAATACACAGAAGCAAAATCGAAAAACTCAATAAAATATCACTTTAACTGGGGTAGATGCAATTAATGTGTAAACAGTAGTTTTGATGCGTAATTTACGATCAAAACAGTTAATTAACTCAACGAGAAAGAATACCACCGTCCTTTTAAATAGAGCGCGTGATTGTGTCAACAATACCTCGTACATAATCCAGATTCAAACTACTGTTTACTTCATATCTTCATAACTTAGAGGCAAGAGTAACCGAGGCGAGTTTCATAATTTCATTAAATTAGTTCGTACTATATTTATGATGCGTGATAACATTTCGTAGTTGCTTTCACGTAAAGTAGTCATATATTCTGTCACTGCCGTCAAGTTTTAGTCGAAATCATGTACATCTATGACTCGTTAGTCGACGTACTGTGGTAAAACATTGCATGTACACGAGCACTCATAGTCCATGTCCTAAGTACAAACTTTGTCATACTTAATATGTCACTTAACGCTAAATAATAAGCTCTTTGTATCAGCCTTTTACGAAATGGCCACGTTACCTGAACCCTCTAAACTTTAGTTACATTGGTGGTTACCATTTTAATTAGTGTTTACTATACTCTTTGTATTTGCTGTTATTTTATACAGTAAATCATGGCTCGATTTCCTTATTACACGACAGTCATTTTAATTCTATTTTCGGTTTATATACATGCAATACGGGTTTGGAAAATACCTAAACGTCCTCAAAAATTCTCCACGAACCCAACCATAGTTTTCGTATATGTTTTTATTCACACGTCCAACTGCTACGCTAATAATACCTAAACGAATGTTCAGTGCAACTGTCAGTATACATAAGAACGATGTTATTTAGATTTGACTTTATAACACATCCGAACTGTTGTAGTTATTCTACTTCGACGTCGTACTTTATTTTATGAAGTGTTGTTTCCTCGTGGCTGTTATCTAACAGATGATTTCGGTACAAATATCGGCTGTTCAACTACTCGACGATTTAAAACCTGTCCAGTTCAATTGGTGGTCTGACGACAATATCATTCGCGCGAATCACCAGTTTATGCAGTCGAGCGAATCTCCTGCAAACTGAAAACTACATTGTCGCCCCTATCCCAACACTGACAGAGTTTTTCACTGGTATCGTTGACATGAGCTTAGAGTGACGCTCTTGGTTTCTTATGTTCTTTTCGATATTTTTCTGTTCACTAACCGGACAAACACGCAGCACTCACCGTTTATCATCTTTTAGAGACTTCACGGTGCCACCTTTGCTGTCGATTTGTAGCCTTCGACCCTTACTGACTGTAACTGCAGTCATCGACTTTTCAAACTCTGACTACAAGTTGATTAATAGCTTAGCACAACGAAATCACGACTACTCTTCACGGTTATACTTCTGTACTTACGGTTAGTCTGTTAAATATAGATATAACTAGAAGCTGTCAACGACACTGTTTGACATTCAACTTTAAATCAATGGCGGTATAGACATCGGCATCGATTGATTATACACTTATCCTACTATCGCTCTAGCGCCATTACTCTTGCGGCAAACTAAGCGTTTCTCATTGGAGGAACTCAATTACTTGTCAAAGCTATATATATTTCAGCGCGACTTGATAGAACAATAAAACGTTTTGTTCTTTTTATTATTTCTATGGTTAATCGCTTTACGTTTAACCGACGTCGTACTAACATATTATTACTCACTGTTTTCCCGATCAGTTTCTGCCGCCTACTTTCCATTTTGTTTCACAGCTCGGCAATACCCGGAGGATTCATATTAATCGTTTGGTAATCTCTGGCGCGCAACTACTCCCAACGTGTTTGGTACCAATTCAAACGGCCGTTGAATCTGGTGGGGGAGTATTGTAGGGCCAGCGAAATGTCACTGAGCCATAGCCAAATCATCCGGCAGTTGGATCACTGAATGTCGAACAGATCATCGCTCCCTGCCAAGGTCATATACAACCAACGCGCATCAGTTAGTCGTATGCCATGGACTGGCCCATGTGGCAGTGGTCTTACTTTCGCTTGTATCTACTTTAACTAATATATTTCTGTAATAACGTCCTCTGTGTTGTACAGTCTTCAAAGCATCTATGGTACCTTGATACGTCAATGGAGGTAGTCCACGTAAGGTGCTGGCCACGAAGTGTAACTTCGATGTTAGCTACTTTGTCACACCATTCATGTCTAACTCGAGTAGGCTTCCAATCATTTTCGACATAGATCATCAACGTTGGTGATTTACAACGTGTTCCGGTAGAGAATTCTATTAATTTACTACTCGGTGCGAGAAACGAAACTCCAGACGTAAACGATTTGATCTCCATTCTTGAACTTTCTTCGAATGTCCTCTCAAATGATCAGTCATAGACGGAAATAAAAGATAAGACATGTTAATACCAAGGTCATCGTTCAGTATACGATAAGCCATTATTAGATCACCCCGTATTCTGCGGTAAGATAACGGAAATAAGTTAAGGTATCTCAGTCTCTTCATAAGCAAGGCCAGACAGACATTGTACCATCTTAGTACCTCGTCGTTGGACTCTTTTCAGCATCTCTGCTTCATACTTGAAACAATTGTTTCGATTCCTTATGAATTCGCTGCTTGAATCCCATATTCTAAATGTGGTCGCACATAAATCGAGTATAATAATCTAAACATTTCATCATCTACAGATGATACTGGAAAGACCCACAAATAGACCATAACACCCTATAACCTTTCGCAGCATCAGCCTTACAGTGACTAGTGGTTTTGAGATCACTGCTTAATATGATTCCTAAAGCTTTATAGTTTCTTACTTTGTGTAGCACGAATCCACATATTGTATAGCGATACGATTCATCATAGCTATTTAATTGCATTACCACACTCTTATTAGGATTTACTTCTATTGACCATCTGTCTAACCATGTCACCAATGAGCTAAGATCATTTTGTAATACTATTCTATCCGACATATTGTGTATGGGTCTCCAAATTTTTATGTCATCAGCGAACATATGATTTTGCTACAGTTGGTAATTCATTTACATAAAGTAAAAAGAGGAGGAACGAGAATTGTGCCTTGGGGAACTCCACTTTTTACAGGTACCCACGAGGAGAAAGCCCCACCAACCCTTACCCTTTGTCTCCTGTCATGTGGAAGGTTACTTATCCAATCTACGAATGTATAATGGATTCCAAAACGTTCCGGTTTGAATTTAAGACTAGAGTGGGATACCTTGTCGAGGGCCTTACTTAGATCTATGGTGATCACATCCACAGGAATATTCCGATCTTTTGCACCAGCCCAATCTTCTCTTGAAATGAGAAGATTTGTCAAGCATGATAGGCCTCTCCGAAAACCATGCTGTTCCCTGGAGAAAAGATTATGCCCTTCAACATAGTTTATACGAGATATTCGCATGGTTTTTCCATCAGCTTTATAAGTGCACTAGGTAAGCTAACGGGTCTGTAGTTACTAACTAAATCCCCAATCCCTGCATTATACACCTGACTTATTATAGCGTCTTTCCAATCTTTGGGCAGTCTAGACTGCCTCAGTGACATGACAAACAGTATCGCTAAAGGTTCAGCAATTACATCTGATATGGCTTTCATAATCCTAGGATGAATATCATCAAGACCACTGGACTTATCAGGTTTGAGGTGCTGAAGTAGCCTTAAAACAGTACCTTTCTCAATGACTAGCCGCCACGATCACAATGAATCGTTGGTCATTCCTCATTACTGATAGAAAACACTTTACTGAAATATTCCGATAAAGCTTCAACTTTTACGGTATCATTTTCTGTCAAGACTAACGAATTTTCTTGTATCAAAAGTGATGGAATTCCATCGCTTCTCTGAGTGGCTAATGGTTCAATTGTTCGATAGGATTCGATCGCCACTCAGTTAGACAAACATGGGACCAGTTACAACTGTGTGATGAACCAGCTTGAATATCTCAATGCTACAGGAGGTCGATGACATGACTTGTGGTTGACTGGATTATCGTTGGTTATCGAAGTGACTCGACACCTGTAAGAAGTCAAAAGACTGATCGATAGATGGGGATTTATTTAGCACCCAAACACAAGATTAGTTAGATTACAACTGAATTAACAGAACATATCAATACATTTATTTTCAGGTCGACTCACTTCGTGATAATCAATAGATCGAATTCCAATAAACCACAACTCAGTCCCCTCACAGCTGACTAGTCAATAGAATGCCAAGAGGAAAACCTCTACTGGTATCGTAAGGATGAAAATGTTGTAATCGACAAGAGTAGATGGTATGCTAACTCAGATACAGATGTCGATAGAGACCCGAATCGCTCCAAGCTATTATACTCTAATATTGAATGTTCTGATTCTAATTCGTGGGAAGCGCTCAAATAAGACACGAATTAATCTCATCCTGAATGCACGATTGTTCTCACAGGAAGCTTCGTTAACTCACCGCAAAACTAGTTACATCAATGCGACATGACTGCGCCATTAACATCTCGCACTAGTTGACTTCAAATTGAAACTAGCGTAAGAATACTAGGCCAGTACACCAGTTTACAAACAATCTCACCTATATATATACACTGTCCCTCCCATTCCACTTATTGTATACACAAACATCACTTCTAGTTTAGTTCCGAGTAGGCATCTCCGAACAACCTCACACCTCGTTTCGCGGAATTCAAAGACACCCAATCTGACCACTAACTAAAAGAATGGACACACACCTACCACTTATAAAGTTCAAAGGCTTATAGCTCCGACGACTAGATAAAACTTATAATAAACCCACCTCCATATGCAGGATTATCCAACTGACCGATCATCCGTTCTTCGACACTGTGACGATCAACTGACTCGATTACACAAAGGCACTTCTGAAAACCAAATAAATGCTTATTACATTTCATCAACCTGTTTATTCCAAAGTGAAATACTATACAAAACGCGTGCATTGTCATCCTTACCCATTTTACATTCCATCTGTTGTGGGGCAGTAAACAACTAACTAGTAACTGCAGGCTGTTCAGACTACTCAACTAAATATTTACTGTCTCAAATGAAATCATCTCGCTTAACTGAGTCGTCGAGCAAATCCACTTACAGCCCCAGAGCACGAGTCACTTGTCTTCAACAAACTTCTCAGTAGTATCAACAACGTTTGACGAATAGTCCTATCATTCGATTCAAACGAACTACCGACATTGATATCACGTCACAGACCTTACTTCCTACTCGCAAGCTAACAAACTGACACGGACAACCGCTTAATGGTGCTAGTGCCCGACCACGTACGCTAATGCAACAACCTCTAGGTACTGCATGCCCGTCTGGACACCCCCTATCCTTCTAGGCTTGCGCGCAAATGTTGGAAGGAACTTACTACTTAACGACAACATTTTAGTCGATATAGAAAAAACAACTAATTTGAGAGCAAAGTTTATTAGTCACCGATTATATACAAAATGCAAACATGCTAATCCACTTCTTCCATACCATCTTCGTCAACTGTAGCTTCAGGTGCAGCATCTTTCTGGATACCGTCACTTGGGATTTCGTTCGCCTTTATTTCATCATCAGGAATATCCAGGCACATGCAAACCATATGGTGGATGCTCTTTGCGTGTATCTTGGGATCAGGTAGTGAGAATCCTGAAGAGAGAAGTGCGGTGTCGAACAACAGTTGCACAAGATCCTTAACAAGTTTGGTTGAACTGCCACTCTCAAACTGTTGTTTCAAGGCTTTGATCATAGGGTGGTACGGATTCAGCTCTAGCTGTTTCTTGGCTGCCATATAACCCATCGTACAGGAATCCCGGAGTGCCTGGGCTTTCATGATCCTCTCCATGTTAGCAGACCATCCAAACTCTGAAGTTACAACGCAACATGGGGAATTGGTAAGTCGATTCGAAATACTAACTTTCTCAACGTTCTTGCCGAGGATTTGCTGGATCTCTTTGCACAGCGTTTCGAACGACGACTTCAGCTCTTCGAATTGCTTTTTGTCCTCGTCACTCTCAGGTAATTGAAGACCGTCCTTCGTAACACAAACCAGCTTCTTGTTTTCGTATTGCCGTATATGGGTAACAGCATATTCGTCAATCGGGTCAACCATGAACAGTACTTCGAATCCACGTTGAGTAAGCTTCTCAGTAAATGGTGAATTCATTACAGCTTGCTTTGACTCACCTGTTATGTAGTAAATATCTTGTTGTTCAGGCTTCATACGTGATACATAATCCTTCATGCTGATCATTTCATCACCAGAAGCTGAGGAATAGAAACGCAGTAAGTCGGACAGCTTCCCCCTATTAACACTATCTTCATGGATGCCCAGTTTTATACTTTTCGAGTATTGCTCGTAAAACTTCTTGTAGTTATCTTTATCCTCCGCTATCTCCTCAAATAGCTCAATACATTTCCTGACCAGGCTCTTACGAATAACCTTCAATACGTTGTTCTGCTGCAACACCTCACGACTGATGTTAAGGGGCAGGTCTTCACTATCCACAACGCCTCGGACGAAATTCAAGTACTCAGGAATCATATCATCACACGTATCCATGATCAGCACTCTTCGCACATACAATTTGATATTGTTTCGCTTCTTACGTGACCCTTCAAACATGTCTATAGGTGCACGTTTAGGCACAAACAGCAACGCTCGGAACTCTAACTGTCCTTCAACAGAGAAGTGCTTCACGGCAAGATGGTCCTCCCAGTCATTAGTAAGCGACTTGTAAAACTCGGCATACTCTTCTGTATTTATATCTTCAGGATTACGCGTCCAGAGCGGTTTAAGCTTGTTCAGTTGCTCTTCTTCAGTATACTTCTCCACAACCTTCTTTTTATTTTTCTTTTCCTTATTCTCCTCTTCCTCGTCTTCATCTAGATCTTCGACTTTCGGTTTGTCGTCAGACTCGTCAGTTTCTTTCGACTCGGACTTTTCAGCCTCATCATCAGACACTTCCTTGGTCCGCTCTTTATTAACAACCAGCTTGATGGGATAGTTAATAAAATTAGAATGTTTCTTCACTATATCTCGAATTTTTCTCTCTTCAAGAAAATCTAGTTGATCTTCTTTGAGATGCAATATCACCTTAGTGCCTCGTTTTGGCAACTCACTGTCATCTGGTGCGATTGTGAAAGTTCCACCAGCGGACGACTCCCAAATGTACTGGTCATCATCATTATTTTTCGTCACTACTTGAACCCGGTCGGCTATAAGGTAGGCAGAATAGAAACCTACACCAAATTGACCAATCATCGATATATCTGCACCATCAGCCAGAGCCTCCATAAACGCCTTCGTGCCAGAGGAAGCGATGGTACCCAAATTCTTAATCAAATCTGCTTTCGTCATACCAATACCAGTATCCAGGACAGTCAAAGTTCCAGCCTCCTTGTTGGGTATCAACTTCACATACATATCTTCTCCGGAATCAAGAACTGATGGATCAGTCAAACTCTTATACCTCAACTTGTCCAGAGCGTCACTAGCATTAGATATAAGCTCACGAAGAAATATCTCTTTGTTGGAGTAGAAAGTGTTGATAATCAGGCTCATAAGCTGGGCGATCTCAGCCTGAAACGCGAACTCCTCAGGTTGTTGCTCGGTAACCATTGATTCGGGCATTGTACGGCGTCTAACACGAAATCAAGTAACGAACGCGCGCTGAGCGTGCCTTTATAAATACTGTTTAGAATGTTCTAGAATTTCTTGTTTGGTTTCTAAAAATAGAAACAAATGGACCAATAGGAACAGAGTAGATTTGCGTAGAATATTCTAGACTGTTCCTTCACTTTTCATTGGCTCACAAACTCGGGTCAACAAACTGGCATCATCCTGGCCATTGTTTGTGTAAACTTTTCCGTATGAGGTAATAGTGGAGAGATCTAGATGTTTGGCTATAAGATTTGGATTTCTGAAATCTTAGATTGACAGTTTTCAGTTTAAGTTTGGAAAGGACTGGAGGCTTGACGGCCTGTGTTAGTCCTGGCAATGGTTGTTTCTCAGTTGATCCAACTTTCTTTTGAAAGTGTTGACAGATGGAGCCTCAATCACTTACTGTGGTAATGAATTCCACTCGTTGATGATTCGATGGGGAAGTCGATGTTCAGCTGATAAGTAATTTGTTCTGAACTTGTGAACTTTTTTTAAGTGTCATCGTAAATTCTCTGTTTTTGAAGTCAAGGGAAGTAAAGGCATATCAGATGGAAATTTATTACTAAGTAGTTCAAAAAACTAATGTATTAGCCTCTGGTCCTTCAATATAACAACGGGAATAGGTTTAGCCTAGCCAGTCGAGCATCATATGGGGGCTAGCAACCATACAACGATCGGCTTGAAAAGCTAAACCTCTTTTACTCTGTCCTATCTCAGATTAAGAGGTGATCTGATTTTGATGCATATAATACTAAGTAATGATTTTGGGACTAATATATCCTCTCTTTTTCTTCCCACTATATTGGGATATCTCAGGGGGAATAGCAGGCGAGTAGAAAAGCCAAGGGCGAAGAAAATACCCTTGGTACACAGGTTTTCACATCGAGTCATCAATTCTTGGAACCTGTTACCCGAAGTAGTGGTGTCCGCATCTCCAATCGACTCATTCAAGAGAAGACTGGACACTCACAGAAGCATACTAGAAAAGGAATAACATAGGCCGTAAGCGTTCTGTCCTTACTACACAAATCTGAATCTCTGGACCTTTTCTAGAAGGTCACTGTCTTTTTTAAGCAGGGTCTAATCAATTCTATTCAGTGCTCGAGTTTAGTACGCACGAACTTTGTATACTGAGTCAAAAGCGTCTTAGCGTCGACATGACTAAAAGCCCTACATATTGACCATAAAGTTCTAAAACCTTTGGTGGCTACTGCACGACAGTGTGCAGTAGTCTTTAAGTTTTGGCCCAACTAGAAAGTCTTTTGCCCATAACAATAGATTCCCTCGAACCCCGACATTTCTTAACTTATATAGCAGCCGGTTGTGCGGAACTTGGTCAAAAGCATTGCTGAAGTCAGTGTAGGCTACGTTTTTATGTAACTTTTGGTCTTTAAGACCTCACCAGTTTTCACGAGCCACTAATAACTTAGTGAGGCAGGAATAACCTATAATAAAACCATGCTGCTTTTCCGAAAGCATCCGGTTTGCATCGAATTACTTAAACAGCTCCTTTCGAATAATCCTTTCTAAAAATCTTACAACAACACAAATTAGGCCAACGGGTTGGTAATTCTCAGGTTTATGTTTCATAACTGTTTCGAAGACAGGACTTACTATGGTGTTCTTCCAGTCTTTTGGTAAACGACCCTGTGTTACGGATAGATTAAAGCATGTACTTAAAGGTTTCGCAACGAAGTAAGTTAATTTCTTTAGTAACCTGGGATGCAGTTCGTCGGGTCCCGTGGATTTACCTATGTTAAGCCTGTTCAGCAGACCAAACACATCCAGATCTTTAATGGTCACGCTGTCCAGTGTGTGTGTGGGGTTTGTATGGACTCACGGGAAGGGCTTTTCTACGGTATACACATTGCTAAAGTAGTTCGAGAACACTTGAGCCTTACCAAAGTCGTCCTCCACTAATGATGCGGCAGTACTGTCTCTCCATAGTGCTGGAATATTTCCTCTTCTTTTTGGCCTTTGATTAGGATATTCCTTGGCGATTTTTTCTTCGTACAACCTTCTAGATTTACAGAGGGTGGAGGCACAGGCATTCTAAGCTTTTCGATACTGAGATTTTGTCTCAGTCCCCAGTAACCTGAATCTATCCCACATTTTTCTCCTCTTACAGAGGTCGCGAACCTCCTTACTGAACCATGGTGGAGAGTTTGTCGGCCCCCTTGGTATAGTCCAAGGGATGTGGGGTGCGGTAACTTTTAAGTATAAATTTCGAAACGCGTCCCAAGCCGTTTCAATTGAGGACTCTGGGTCTATTGTCCAATCTACTAACGATGCTGAGTGCATGATATCTGGTATGTTTGCTTTCCAGACGTTAGGTCTGGATTGAGTTAACGCGTGTTTGACGTGTTTGACAGTTATATGGAAGTCGAAAGTTAAAACTGCGTGATCACTTTTACTTAGGGGTGGCATATAATGGAGGTTCGCAACGTCATCCTCATAGTGAGTCAGTATAAGATCTAGTAAGTATGATTCAGTGTCCGGGTTGTACCTAGTCGTTTCTTTCACATGTTGCACTAGGTCACATGTGATAACCGCATCAACTAGTTCCTGCTCGAAGGAATTTTCTGACGATTCAGTCAGCAGATTTTCACAGTCTGCCATAGGTGTATTAAAGTCCCCTAGGACTAGACATCGACCACTTTATGACCAAGTATTGAGACTGCTTAGCAAGACCTCATTTACCTCACGGCCTGGACTGCGATAGACCAAGCCAATCAGCAGCTCTTGTCCCTTGCATTTCAAGCGGCAAATAACTAATTCACACGTCCCACTCTCATGCTATACACTGTCGATAATGGCAAACGGGATAGCATTCCTAATGAATAGAGCTGCTCCCCCTCCTTTACGCTCCTTGATTCTATCGGCTCTTACCAACCTAAAGCCCTCAAAATAAAGTCCCATACTATCTGTAGGCTGCGTCAGCCAAGTTTCTGTGACTGCGATATCTGGCTTGGTAGAGTCAATCTGTACACCTAGTTTCGATCGCATATTGAGTAAGCTTCGGGCATTAGTGTAACAGATCCTAAACCTATTTAAATGGTTTCGTGCTACACTCAGAGTGGCTTCCTTATCATTCTCTGTTGAGGCCTCACAATCCAAAAGTTTACAATTTTTATGTCCTTTTCGCCAGCGTCTAACCTAGGTTGTAGTTCATTTTCGGCTTCCCGTCTTTTTACGCTGTCTACCGACGGCAATTCCTTATGGACAAAAACTCATGAACCCTTTAATTTATGTCCATTGTGTAAAATTAAGTCCCGTGCTAATGTGGTGTGGCAACTCGAACTGGTGTACGTGCGTAAGAAGTTCTACGTTGTTACTGATTGACTAACTGTTCATTAGGAGATTTAAATACTAGTTTAAGCAGCCAGGTTTGTTTTGGTTTTAAGTTTGCTCGACTAACTAGTCTATACACCTTTAGCAAGGTGACTCCGGAGATATTTTGACCCGTAAGTTGATTTAGTAGCTGTTTTATCAACCCCATGTTATGCTCAAAACCAGTTTTCGGTTCAGAGCTTTCACTCTACTTGATTCTATGAAAAATAGCTGATCTGTCACTGTGGTCATTTTCCGATTTCCAGACTTCTTTTCGAGGGTTGTATTTTATTTTATATCGTTATTTCGTTTCTTGTGTACGACCTGTACCCGTTCGTCAACTTTCGTTGGAGTAGCAACCACAGTCGCGTCAAACATGCTGTGGGTTTCCGGGAGGTTATCGACGACTTGGGCAGCCAGGTTGTGTTTCCTGCTAGAAACAGATCCAGCCTTGCGATTGCGATTTCTAGGCGTTCCCTGTCGGACGCCATTTAGAGGACGGGGGACAGAGGAAACTCTCTTCCTTGGGTTTTTATTTAGAATAGACCTTTTTGGAGATGGTGTTTCCTTCTTTGATCGATGTGAGTCAGCTGTTTCCAAGTTCACTTAAGGTGGCTTCACATCAACTCGTTTGTCAAAAGTGCGAGGGCCGTCCGATGTTTCCTGACCTCACTTGTTAATAAACTTTTTTGCAGCATTTAATATTGAAATGACCCTGGTTAGCAAGCTGTTTGCGTCCGAGCAGCACTGCTGACAAGCCATATACAACCATTTTTATTAAACCTTCTGAAAGCCGCAGGCGTCAATTTCGTAAAAACTTCGTGGTACGAGCCTTTGCACTCATCGCACTGCATTCCGCTTTCAACGGGATATAGACAACTCGGACGTTGGCAATTTCTATTCTTGCACTGTCCAGTCATCGAACATAGGTTTTCAAAAAAGAAACTAGATACAATAGTACCCAGCGACAATAGTGATCTATGACTGAAAAAGTGGAAAACTGTAGATTCTTTTAACTGAATTATTTGCAAAGCCTAGTACTGAAGGTTCAGATCAGATTCGGATTTGTGTACTGAGCACAGCAGCCAAAAACCTGGATTAACAATGAAAATCATCAGGACGAGTTGAAGGTCTGTGCGCTAATAATTACGAAGGTATACCAGGAGGCACGCCTGAAGGAGGTAGTGAAAGTGGAAAGGGACCAACCATCGAGGGGGTCAACTAACCTGTAATTCTTGCGATTAATTATTTGGTACTTAGGTGAATTCAGATTTTATCTGTAATGAATCTTGACTTGTAATTCTTAGTGGTTGTCGGTTGCTTGATATTAGGTCCAGGACTCGTTGTTTGCGAGCAGTGAATATTGTTGTCTAGTGTCTGGTCGCCCAGTGTAGGATAATAGTCGGTAGTTCGTTTGAATCGAATGATGGGACTATTCGTCAAACGTTGTTGATACTACTGAGAAGTTTGTTGAAGACAAGTGACTCGTGCTCTGGGGCTGTAAGTGGATTTGCTCGACGACTCAGTTAAGCGAGATGATTTCATTTGAGACAGTAAATATTTAGTTGAGTAGTCTGAACAGCCTGCAGTTACTAGTTAGTTGTTTACTGCCCCACAACAGATGGAATGTAAAATGGGTAAGGATGACAATGCACGCGTTTTGTATAGTATTTCACTTTGGAATAAACAGGTTGAT